CGAAATCTTTAAAAGACATTTCTGCTCGAATCAATTTCGTTATCTTCAGGCCCATAACTGCAGCCATTAACTCCGGGCGTGGTATACTAGTCGTACGTAGGGGAGCGACCCAAGCCTTTGAAAACAATAACTGGCACCTGGGGGTTTCCTTGTTATCGGGGACCATGTAGGCCGTAAGCAGTTTCCGCAGTTGTCGCAAACAGTGTAGTTTTTGTCTATTTCCCATCAACACCAGTGCAATCAAGTTATGAATTTTCCCTTTCATCCGATTTCCAACCTTTCTTACCTTTTTCCTGAATTTCATCCACATGGTCAGCAACAAGTAGGCGACCGAAAGCGATGTAAAATATTGCATGGTTATTGCTTGTGCAAACTGAACTGAAGTGAAATCAATACATTTGAACATTTACTAGTGATCAAACTGGAACATGGATTTGGTGATTTCGTGATTTGGTGAGAGGCAAATAGTCGGGATTGCCGATGGGGACACTTTGACAGTCGCACACTGCACTGCGACCGCCCTATTTCGATATGGAATCGAACCACGTGAAATTAGTGTATGAAATAAACGAAGTAACCCACAACCGCGGCCCGACTGCCTTCACCGTACCAATCCTCACACTTGAAATTTGAAATCGTGCAATTCAATGGGAATATTCATTAGTCTTACTCATCAGTAGTCAAAAAACAACGCATATCAATTTTTCGCTGCCAAATCAAATACCATCATCTCTCGACTTCCTATCATTCTCGCGGACACTGGAGTAACCACGACGTTGTGACGAGTTCGATTATGACTCTAGAGGTTTTCTTGTAATGGATCTTCCTGGATGCCGAAATTGCGGTCGCCTTCTTGTTGCTGACCATGTGGATGAAATTCAGGAGAAAGGCAAGAAAGGTTGGAAATCGGATGAAAGGGAAAATTCATAATTTGATTGCACTGGTGTTGATGGGAAATAGACACAAACTACACTGTTTATGACACCCATCCATTTCACTCAGCATCTCTCCCTGTCGGGTACTATGATCCCGACGTCCCAGGACCCGGACTCAAGTTGAGGGCTTAGGTTTCCTCGTACCAGGTCTAGGCATGACCGCGTTCAACTTTATTCTGCCTACTTCATGTAGATATACACATACAAATCGCTATATATATTTTCATTGAACAAATTACTTAAAACGACTTTGGAGTCGCTGGAATTGCAAACACACTTTCGAGTGGGAATTATATCTGTATACTGATTTCGTTGAGCAAACGGCTCACCGCTCAACTTCTGTTTTAGAACCTGACATTTTGGGAACTCCTGAAAACAGGTCATCGACCATGATTTTCGGTTATTATTTGCCTACCCGTCATTTTGTGTCCTGTCGAATTTGTATTGTTTCTAATGCGCTAGGTTCTAAATACGATCGATTTATCCAAGAAAGGCAAATTCTGAGTGGAACAAATACGACGTGTGGAATGTTGCAAATGCGAGCAATCGATGGAATTCTGTGCAAATCATCAAACATCGTCTCACTTGTCATAGGCTTGACCGGTATTCAAAGGCTCCGACATTTCTAACAGTATGCTTATCTTGCTAATCACCATATGTTATATCTCAGTTGCTTTCTCTCGCAGCGTTGCCAACCAAATGAGCGAGTGACCGTGTTCCACAAACCTTGATGTTTTTGTCTTAATCAAGCATTTGCGAAAGTGCACTGCTACAGAAATTTGTCTCCTTTCGAGCTTTGGAGGAACACGGCAAACAAGTGCAGCTTGAGCGATAAAAATGCTTTTTATATGAAGCGAAAATAGTGCATGGCTTGAATAATCCTTTGGAGAACCATTGGACAGTCACGTCAATTTTGTGCTCGGCCGTTGTGCTATGTTGCATTTCACTTACATAGTTTAATGCATTCACCTAGACTGCATTGAAGGCGAGAAACTCACTCACATATGCATTTCATTAAACCAGCCACGGTAAAATTGCCTCAGAACCCTTCTCATGGGTGCCTCATACGACTCCACAGGCAAGTCGTTAACTGTCAGCTCATCAAGTGTCTGGGGAATTTCCGCGATATTTGGTGGGTAGAAAAGTGTAGAGAGATGGATAGAACTGCTGGTATTGATAATATTCGTACCCTTTTCCATTATAATGGGAATAGGGGTCGTAGGAAAATAGGCTTAAGTGAGGTAATTAAGGAATCCGATGGCACACTGATTCAATGATCATTGGTCAGCAACGCCGACTTGTCCGTTCGGCAGAGCATTTCAAGGCTCACTTCAGCTGGCCCCAATCGACATCTTATCTTTCACAATCCGCCTCGACTGGACAAGTACTCCCAGTTGATACTGGTCCTCCATTTGATATGGAGGTATCTCGGGAAATAAGTTATCTGAAAAGCCATAAGTTCTCTGGCCCAGATGAGCTGTTCCCATCAGCGTTTAAGGATGAAGGCTCGGCGTTAGTCACGGAGTTGTACAAACTCCCGGGATCAATATGGGAAAAAGAAGAGGTTCCAGCTGAATGATGTGAGTGGGTGATCATACCGATTTACAATAAAGGTGATAGATCCTTTTGTGAAAATCATAGAGCAATTAGTTTATTCAACATCGTCTCTAAACTTCTTGCTGGCATCATACTCCGCCGATTGTACGCGTGAGAACCAGGCTGGTTTAGACCCGGTCGAGGATGTATCGACTACATCTTCACTTCTCGCCAGATTCTGGATCACTGGCATTCTTTTTCGTAGACCCACCATCTCCGTCTTCGTAGATCTGAAAGCAGCTTTCGACTCAGTCGACTGCGCTAAACTTTGGCATTTCGCTGAAAATGATGCCCGAAGAGGTAATTTCAATATAACGATCGGTTTATACTAATAACCGAGTGCAGCGGAATTTTTACACGCAGTCCCACAGTGATTGGTTTCGTGATGCTTGTTGTCACAAACACCTTGCAGTTTTGTAGTTCACGCGTGAGAACCACGCTGGTTTTTGACCCGTTCAAAGTTGTGTCGACCTTATCTCTGCTCTGCGCCAAATTCTGTAGCACCGGCATTCTTTTCGTAGACCAAACATCTCTGTCTTAGCAGATCTGAAAGCGGCTTCCGACTCATTCAACCCCTGTAAACTTTGGCGCTGCCTGTTTCTGAAAGGTGTTTCCTAGAATTTAATTTCAATATTACGACGACTTCATACTAATAGCGAAATCGAGTCCGGGGTTACGGCAATCTTTTTCGCACGAGTTCACCACGGAAAGTGGTGTTCATCAGGTTTGCTCTCTCTCCACTTCTATTTAATTTTGTTATAAATATGATTATGGTCACAGCCCTATCCTCGTGCGAGGATAATGGTATCGATTTAATCACAGGTGGTAGGCTGTTTAATCTGGAGTACCCAGACGACATTGTGCTTCTTATTGAAGATCCAGGTAAGCTGCAAGCATTTCTGGATTATTTGAATGCCAGTGCAGCCATATTCGGTAAGAGTTTGGCACCTTCAAAGTGTAAAATGTTGCAACAAGGCTGAGTTGGTCCTGCACATAGCCTCACTCTCTTCGGGGAGATAATAGAGCAAGTGGATTTTTTATGTTATTTGGGCAGCTACATCTCACCCGGTGGAGGCATCACGGATGAAGTTTCTGCTCGCATACAGAAGGCTCGATTGGCATTTGCCAACTTGAGTTATCTGTGGTGGCCTCATGACATTCGGCTGTCTGTGAAGGGTCGAGTGTATGCCGCGACAGTTCGGCCAGTCCTAATACACGGTGCAGCAACTTGGTCATTAGGAAAACAAGATACAGAGAGACCGTCGGTGTTTGAACACCGCTGTCTAAGCAGCATTGCACGAATCTGGTGGGTTAGCCGGATGGGCAATGCTGGGGTAAGGTGCAGAGTTTTGGGTAAATATAGTCGCCCACTGGAGCAAAAGGTCGACCTCATTGATTACATTGATTGGGACATGTGTTACGCATGTTACCAGATGGGGTACCACGGCGAGCGATGCTCGCCGAAGCAGAAACCGAGTGCAAAAAATCCAAGGGTGGTCGAGCTCAGACCTGGCACGAGGGTATGAAAACCCTAACCAGGAGACTGGGTCACACAGGTCCTGTTGGGGTCCCTGGCTGGGGATCGTGCGATGATTTTAACCGATGGTTAGTGACAATGAGTGATATGGATGGGTGTCGCAACCAGTGGCGTTCGTGCATCTTCTCAATCTCTTTGCAAAATTAGACCACTGAGCTGCATCATTTTTTGTTCGACTCTACTTTGAACTTTCCTTTTTTCTCTTATTCTTCATCCAAGTCGGCAGTACTTGGTAAGACGTCGGTGAGCGTCCGATATCCTCATGCGCACTATGCGTCTTCCGAAATGCCGTGAGATCCTCCGACCGACGTAAGGCCTTTGAATTTGGCCGCACCATTGATCTCGAAAGTCATATTTACACTTTTGTGAATTTATTTGTCATCAAATCGCATTGGTATCAATTTCAAGGACACCAAATGCTATCCTACACAATCAGGTTCATGAAATCGTTGTGTTATCGCAGAAACTCCGCTATTTGTGAAATAATCTAACAATGTAAGAAATATTTTCAAGCGGATGATTAAAACAAAAAACGGTACAAGGAGAAAGCATCGAGCAGGCTGGTAAGTCGCTCTCAGACAGTGCAGCACCAGTCAAATGCAAATTCTCCTCATTTTAACAAGTAATGTTCGTTCTCTGTTGGGAAAAGTAGGGGAGGAAGTAGTGTGGTGGTTCCTACTCGGACTAGTATTCCGTATATGTATCGGATTCCGTGCACTAATAGTCCGACCCAGAATTAGGACTAGGTACGATAATGCGATCGTTGGAGCGCAAGACACTATCACACGCCAGAGACGTTTCCTCACGACGTTTATAGAATTCCGGAAATCACCTCGCCAACCTCGACGGACACAGGAAATGATAGCATGGTCATATTTCCTGGTCTCGCAAACGAGATCAGATAGGCTTACCGGTAGCGGTTGAGTGAGTAGTCAATCACCCGTAATAGCCTCCTCTGAGGTGGCATAGTGTGCTGGATAGTCTGCATGTGGAATGGACTGCGCACTGCGATGATGGATGTCGTAGAAATAGGCGGATAACGCAATACTCCATCGTTGCACCATGGCTGCAGATGACTTAGCCATGGAACGTTGAGGGTTGTAAATGAACTGCAAGGCTTCATGCTCACTCACAATAGTGAAATGAGTACTATAAATGTACTTTTGCATACGCGTGACAGCCCAGTAGACAGCTAGAGCTTCTTGTTGAGTTTGGGAATACCCACATTCGGCAGCCGTGAGTTTGCGTGAGATGCACAGCACCGGATGACCATTCTGCTCCAACACAGCTCCAATTCCAACGGGCGATGCGTCCGTGATGACGGTAGAATGTAATCGTGGGAAGAAAGGACGTAAAACAACACTGGTAGATCAAAAGGAAAGAAAATTCCTCAAGGCGCGTTCATGGACCGAAGTCCACCGAAATGTTTGCTGTGACTGTATATCGAACAATGGAGCACCTTGGGTTGAAAAGTTAGTGATAAACTTGGAATGGTATTGTAAAGAACCAATTAAAGAACGAAGTTCATGGAATGACTTGGGAAATGAAGCATTAGTCAACGAAGAAAATCTATTAGGGTCAGGACGGAATCTGGATTCATCAACCAAATAACCTAAACAAGAAAGTTCGTAGCAAAGGTCCAATTATCAGGGTTAATAGAAATATTATGACAACGGAATCTTTAAAGCAAAGAACTCAAACGTTCGTCATGTAAGTGTCTGCTAGGCGCATGAACAATAAAATCGTCCTGATAGTCACATAAACCTTGTAAGCCAGAAATGATGGAATTATTGTTAGTTTGAAAAACAGCAGGGAAAGCACTGAGTCCAAACGGTAGAAAGTTGTAGCGAAATAGACCAACATGTGAGTTAATAGTCGTGAGTTCACGGGACTTATCATCAGGAGGAATTTGAAGAAATACATGTTTCAAGTCTAGACTAGAGAAAAGTATGGATCCATGAAGTCGGTGCTCAATATCTTATGGTTCGACGGTAGCACAACTAGACTGTTTTAGATGTCTGTTCACAGTGACTCAATAATCCTCAAAAATCTTAGGAGTCTTCCCATCACGTGTTAGTGGAGTAACAATTGGTGTGACCCAAGACAAAGAATTTACGGGTGTCAAACTCCCTTGCCCACCATTTCATCTAACGCCTTTTTACGGGCTCACAAAGTCCAAGTGGGATAATCCGACGTTTGATAAACACCGGAGAACCGGCCACTTCGAGACTC